CTTAATGAACGGTATGAAAAACAAGGAATTGATGCGGAAAACTTATTATATGGACTCGCTTTGTTGGTGGCAAAAAAATAGGCTCGACGCCGGCGAATATCTTTCTGAATTCACAGGTTCATACCGTGTTATTATCAACTTTTATTTCTATCATGGACCATGTCATTTTCTTTACATTAGATTGAATAAATTTTAATTTTTCCAATCAATTCCATCATTTTCTATTCTTTCGACATTTTTAATTTCGATTTCTTCTTCTATCGATAGTTTTTTTTTCGACGTATGTTATTCGATCTTTTATTCTCCGACATCGTCTTTTCCACGTTAACCTCTTCGCTATTCATTTTTCAACATATTGTTTTCGATATATTCTTCTTCGACATAATTTCTTTCGGTATTTTCAATCATTACCTTTACGAATTCATTCGAAAGAAAATACTTGCAAATTCTTGTAAAGTATTGGATAAGATTTAGTTAGAAAAGATGTGCAGCAAAAATGCTACTATGGGACTGAAAGGGTTAACTGAGCCTTTTGGATACGAGTACTTCTCTGAGTATCTCTTATTACACAATGTGCTTTTGAACTCTGGTGCATGATCAAGAGATATAGCTAGGTCACAACAATCAACTATCAAGTTCCATTGAAGATTTGTTTAATGGCTCAAAGACTGATATACTCAGAGAGGTTCATTGTATTTCACATTGACGGATGCAGAATCAGATCCTGTGTCTAAGAGAAACATTTAAAGACATTACAGATATATCCGAGTGAATCCAGAAAGAGCATATTGTGCAAAAATACCATCTTGAGGAGTGTGTGGGTAGAGCTGCCATGACCGGTTTCGTCTTTTGCTCAAGAAGACTCATCAGATGGCTGTTAATTTCACTCGATTTAATTCAAAATAAACACTTTCATAAGAAAAAAGTCTATTTCAAACAAAATCAAAGCAAAATTGAACTATTCTGTTATAATTTCAACTGAAAAAGCTTAAAAAAGCAATTTCTATCAGAATTATAATGATAATTCAAAATCTTGAGGGTGACTTGAGCTTCCATGACTAATTTCATCTTCTGCTCAAGAAGACTCATCAGATGGCTTATGATTTTGTATGATTTAACTCAAAATAAACATTTTCAAAAGAAAAAAGCCTATTTCAAGCAAAATCACAACAAAATTCTATTATTCTGTTACAAAATCAACAAAAAGGAAATACTTTCATCAATTGTATTTGAAAAAGTGGGAATGTTTATCGACAATTTATATCGTCATACTATATTTTCCCCTTGTATTGTATGTGTATTTGCTCGTATTATTCAAAGGACGGGGGCGTATAAGACCGTAAATCGGCCCATTTCAAAATTAACTTGGCAAATACCAAAAACGACGCAGAATGAGACGGAGAATCTTTCTACACCGAATTCCAGTCAATTTGGAACCGTATGAAAGGTTTCCGATAGACAATACTACCTGGTATTTTCACTCAATTTTCACCCTCTTATGATAGTGTTTTTTTAAAGATATCATAACAAAAATTCTTTCATATCACCTACCAAATAGTTTCATTAGAAAGAGAGGACAATTCTGCACAAAATCATATATGAACCACCGTGAAAAAGTGTATATAGGGCGAAGTTATGATAACTGAATAGTGTCTATGTGAATATTACGAGGTATATCATAGGGCTTTCTCTTTTAACGGCACACAAAAACACTTGATGACGGGATTTTCTATATACAGATCGATAGAATTTTTCACGCGCTACAAAATGGTATACTTTCCACCTTTTAAAAAATCTGGCCAAAATTTTTCTTCTATGAAATACAAGGAAAAACGATGGAAAATCACTATCTGGATACAGTTTAGACTCTAGAAGTAGACAAAAGACACTTGATGACAGGATTTTCTATGGACAGATCGATAGGATTTTTCACGTGCTACAAAATGATATACTTTCCACCTCTTAAAGAATCTGATCAAATTGCTTAAAATCGTTAATTATGAGAAGTAACGTAGAAACATTGAGAAGATGTATATAAGTTATTTATTTGAGAAATAGGAAGAGCAAGATCTGTACAACGAAGTGCATATGACAAATATAGAAAGTTAATCATCATCGGAACTAGTCTCTGATGAGTCATCGTCATCGTCGCTACTGCTGGTATTATCTGAATACTGTATACAGTCTTCGAGGTTAGATAAAAGATTATTTGCTGAGAGTTGAGGATCAGAAGAATCAGTTTCACCACGACAAACACCTAAATGCCAAATCAAAGCCGTTATATGAGTGCAGAAACCAATAATACGAGCTCCGGCGGCACAAGTACAAAACCATCCTTTAATTGGTTCATCATAGTCATCTTCGTCGAATTGTACCGTGGCAATGTAGGTTTTATTGCTTGAATGCCGCGAGGCAAAACGAACACGAACTAGATCTACGTGCTTTGTAGAAAGCTCAACAACAAATTCGTACTTTTCGTTGTCCAAAATGGAAGGTTTGAGATGTTCTTCAATATAACTTTTAGCTTGTTTGATTTGGTAGGTACCTATATTGAAAGATATTAGCAGTGTAGAGAGAAAAGAAAATAGATAGCTACCAAAACAAATATGTTGTACATCTTCTTCGGTCAGAGTTGGAAAATTGACCATTTGAGCATCATATTTTTTCCATTGCGGCCTATTCTTAGTTTGATTGATTTGCTGAAGACGCTGTTCTAGTTGATTTTCTTTATCGCGAAGTTCTAGCATCCTTGTTGCCCACTGCTTTTGATTATCTGACTCGATGTTGCTGGTCTTTGTATATGCGTTAATGAGCGCGCATATAATGTTTAAATAACCACCGACAAAAGGAGTGCTTGAATTTTGAATAGTTTGAGAAAAATACCGCCATTGTTTGATTTTTCCATTAACTAGTTTTGAGAAAACTCGTAGAATTTTTACACTTCATGAAAATTGTTCAATAAACGTACCACTTTCGATGATCCATCTCACTTTAGCAACACATCGAGAATGATTGGCTTCTGCGGAGGATAGTTGTTTTTTTCCTTTGAGGAAATCAGGCATTTGAAAATTAAAGCCAAATCTATACGTATATTGTCTTGACGGCATCTCTAAATCCACGATCAACTACTATAACGTCATCCTTATTCAGCCAATTTAACACATCTTCCTCGTTATGGATAAAAATATTTTTGGCGATTGAGGCATCGTTATTTCGACCATCTGCATGATATGGACCCTGTACACTAAGAATGTATCCATCCTAAATAATATATGTATTATATTTCTTAAGCGCAATTCACCATTTATTTTTCAAACACAGTTGAATTCAACTTGTAATGATGACACACTTACTGTTGCAGTTGTGATCATAGGCTTGATCAAGTTCCTGTGTTTATGCATACTAAATGATCGACGTTGAAATTGATTGCTGCTCGATTTTTGTATGAACAAATAAGTTCCGTCCATTACGAGAATTACTTGATCATCTCTATCAGCCATCAGTTGTGAAGCGATTAAGGTTTGATGACGATCAAGAACAGTTCTTCTGTCGATGTGTTGAAAACCAAGATGTTTAGGAACAAAGTTCTTGAGTAGTCCTTCGGCTATTGCATGAACAATTCGAAAAACCACACGCTTGTTTTTCATGCGAAATAGAGAAGATAATACTCTGTTGCTGACACCTAAACGCATTTTAACCAGAAAGAGCGCCAGACCTACACGAATTGATCGAACATAAAAGTTGCGCATTGATGTTAGAGTACTGAGCAGATTATCAAATTGATCTAAGCAGAAAACTAAGCCGACATATAACTCGAACCAATCATATCTTTCTCTAAACCCGTTAGATTGTAATATGCTTCATCATCTAAAGACGTTGGATCATCAAAATCAAATGTTTTCGTATCTTGAATCATCGTACAGCATTCTGTTATTGAGTTCATAATACCTTTGGCATCAAATACTACTGGTTCAGTCTTTGTAGGTACAATTTGATGTAAAGCTTCGAAAGTTAAATGCTTTCCATACAGATGATCACGACAACAACGACTTCCGGGAGATACAACAATACCACGCTTGATAAAAACTAATTTCTGTTCTTCTGCAGATAATACTTTAGATGAACATCCATCTGTTTTCTGACGAACAAAGCAAGTTCTTAACAAAAAATAATGTATATCGAACAAAAGACATTGCATATAAAAAGTTTTAGATTACCTATGAGATGCTGATGTCCGTTTGATTGGAATTTCTACAGTTTGTTCTATTGCATCAGTTTGAATACCACATTCAGCGATTTCTTCATCCTAAGAAAATGTAATCAGAATTAATACGAGCATTAAAGAAATCAGTATTTACTATGATCTCTTCAAAATTCTTTTTATCCATAAACTCAGCAAAATCTTCTTTTGTTTTCCTTTCCCAGTTGTCAAACTTTGATCGGCATTTTCGACAAACTGAATCCGCCATTGATATTTTTTTAAGGCTTGAGCAGACAAAAACAGACGCAGCAGGTTGTTTGAGCAGCCGTAAAGAGCACCATTATCAATCTGCCGATCACAGCCAGCACACGTGATTCGATTCGTTCTGGGCATTTCACACAGTAATGTGACAACAGTAAGCTATAAGTATCTCAATGAAGATTTCATCCAACTATATATAGGTCTGTGAGACCATACTAGACGAACATATTTCGAATACAGAACGAGTGCAATCACAACGACATCATGTATAAAACATAGACAAAAGCCTGGAAGATATCTATATCTCGATTACTTTTCTTTATCAAACAACTGGATTGTGAATACAGCTGTACATCACATATAAACATCAGCATGTATCGACAAGTATATATATGTATACATACATATACATCGAGGTACATATATATGTATATATTCCATCGACATTACTGGTATAGACAGGAACGAAAAAGAAAAGAAACAAGGTGACATTCCAGACTGAAAAAATTTCACACTTTAGAGCAGATCATCATATACATCAGACCTAAGAAATATATATAACATTATACCATTTTGTAGCGCGTGAAAAATCCTATCGATCTGTATATAGAAAACCCTGTCATCAAGTGTTTTTTGTATACTTCTAGAGTCTAAACTGTATCCAGATAGTGATTTTCCATCGTTTTTCCTTGTATTTCATAGAAGAAAAATTTTGGCCAGATTTTTTAAAAGGTGGANTAGAAAGAGCAGACAATTCTGCACAGAATGATCTGTGGACCACCTTGAAAAAGTATATATAGGGGCGAGGTTATGATGACTGAATGGTGTCCATGTGAATATTACGATGTATATCATAGGGATTCTCTTTTAACGGTACACAAAAACACTTGACGATGGGGTTTCCTATATACAGATCGATAGGATTTTGCACGCGCTACAAAATGATGTAATTATATATATATTTCCTAGGTCTGATGTATATGATGATCTGCTCTAAAGTGTGAAACTTTTTTTAGTCTGAAACGTCGCTTTGTTTCTAATCTTTGTCGTTCCTGTCTATACCAGTAACGTCGATTGAATACACACACATATATATATATGTACTCGTCGATACATACTGATGTTCATATGTGATGTACAGCTGTGATCACAACCCAGTTGTTTGATAAAAAAAATGACTCGAGATATCGATATCTTCCAGATCTTTGTCTGTGTCTTATGCATGATGTCGATGTGATTGCACTCGTTCTGTATTCGAAATATGTTTATCTGGTATGATCTCACGTACCTATATATAGTTCGATGAAATTTTCATTGAGATATTTATAGCTTACTGTTGTTACATAACTCTGTGAAATGTCAAGAACGAATCGAATCACGTGTGCTGATTGTGATCGGAAGATTGATAAAGGTTCTCTTTACGACTGCTCAAACAATCTGCTTCGTCTGTTTCTGTCTGCTCGAGCCTTAAAAAAATAGCAATGACGGATTCAGTTTGTCGAAAATGCCGATCGAAGTTTGACAACTGGGAAAAGAAGACAAAAGAAGATTTTGCTGAGTTTATGGATGGGAAGAATTTGGAGAAGATCATGGTAAATACTGATTTTCTTTCTAATGCTTGTATTGATTCTGATTGCATTTCCTTAGGATGAAGAAATCGCTGAATGTGGTAGTCAAACTGATGCAGTAGAACAAACTGTAGAAATTCCAATCAAACGGACACCAGCATCACATAGGTAAGCTAAAACTATTTATATAAAATGTCTTTTGATTGATAGACATTATGTTTTGTTAAGAACTTGCTTTGTTTGCCAAAAAACAGATGGAAGTTCATCTAAAGTATTATCTGCAGAAGAACAGAAATTAGTTTTTATCAAGCGTAGCATTGTTATACCTCCCGGAATTCGTTGTTGTCGTGATCATCTGTATGGAAAGCATTTAACTTTCGAAGCTTTACATCAAATTGTACCTACAAAGACTGAACCAGTAGTAATTAATGCCCAAGGTGTTATGAACTTAATAACAGAATGCTGCACGATAGTTCAAGATACGAAACATTTGATTTTGATGATCTAATGTCTTTAGACGATGAAGCATATTACAATCTAACGGGTTTAGAGAAAGGTATGATTGGTTCGAGTTATATGTCGGCTTAGTTTTCTACTTAGATCAATTTGATAATCTGCTCAGTACTCTAACATCAATGCGCAACTCTTATGTTCGATCAATTCGTGTATTTCTGGCACTCTTTCTGGTTAAAATACGTTTAGGTGTTAGCAACAGAGTATTATCTTCTCTATTTCGCATAAAAAACAAGCGTGTGGTTTCTCGAATTGTTCATGCAATAGCCGAAGGACTACTCAAGAACGTTGTTCCTAAACATCTTGGTTTCCAACACATCGACAGAAGAACTGTTCTTGATCGTCATCAAACCTGAATCGCTTCACAACTGATGGCTGATAGAGATGATCACGTAATTCTCGTAATGGACGGAGCTTATTTGTTCATACAAAAGTGCAACAGCAATCAATTTCAACGTCGATCATTTCGTATGCATAAACACAGGAACTTGATCAAACCTATGATCACAACTGCAACAGTAAGTGTGTCATCATTACAAATTGAATTCAACTGTGTTTGAAAAATAAATGATGAATTGAGCTTAAGAAATGTAATACATATATTATTTAGGATGGATACATTCTTAGGGTACAGGGTTCATATCTTGCAGATGGTCGAAATAACGATGCCTTAATTGCCAAAAATATTTTTATCCATAACGAGGAAGATGTGTTAAATTGGCTGAACAAGGATGACGTTATAGTAGTTGATCGCGGGTTTAGAGATGCCGTCAAGACAATATATAGATTTGGCTTTAATGTTCAAATGCCTGATTTCCTCAAAGGAAAAAACAACTATCCTCCGCAGAAGCCAATCATTCTCGATGCTTTGCTAATGTGAGATGGATAATCGAGAGTGGTATGTTTATTGAACAATTTTCATGAAGTGTAAAAATTCTACGAGTTTTCTCAAAACTAGTTAATGGAAAAATCAAACAATTGTTATGGAAAATTACCAAGCTGGTATCATAAGGAATTGTCCTACATATCTTCTTGCGTTCTGCACATATATATGTTTCTTTCGTTCCTTACGTCATATTCTTTCCCTGTATCGTTGGTATTTTCTAAGTCTAGTAACTCTATATAAACTCGATATGCTTTGGTAGGAGGCGGCGTTCAGTTGTGTGACTATTTCTGTTTTACAATAAACATCATTTAAGTTTAAAACGGATCTAACAACAATGACGGTATTTTTCTCAAACTATTCAAAATTCAAGCATTCCTTTTGTCGGTGGTTATTTAAACACTATATGCGCGCTCATTAACGCATATACAAAGACCAGCAACATCGAGTCAGATAATCAGAAGCAGTGGGCAACAAAGATGCTGGAACTTCGTGATAAATAAAATCAACTAGAACAGCGTCTTCAGGAAATCAATCAAACTAAGAATAAGCCGCAATGGAAGAAATATGATGCTCAAATGGTCAATTTTCCAACTCTGACCGAAGAAGATGTACAAAATATTTGTTTCGGTAGCTATCTATTTTCTTTTCTCTCTACATTGCTAATATCTTTCAATATAGATACCTACCAAATCAAACAAGCTAAAAGTTATATTTAGAAACATCTCATACATTCCATTTTGGACAACGAAAAGTACGAATTGGTTGTTGAGCTTTCTGCAAAGCACGTAGATCTAGTTCGTGTTCGTTTCGCTTCGCGGCATTCAAGCAATAAAACCTACATTGATACGGTTCAATCCGACGAAGATGACTATGATGAACCAATTAAAGGATGATTTTGTACTTGTGCCGCCGGAGCTCGTATTATTGGTCGCTGCGCTCATATAACGGCTTTGATTTGGCATTTAGGTGTTCGTCGCGGTGACGTTGATTCTTCTGATCATCAACTCTTAGCAAATAATCTTTTACCTAATCTCGAAGACTGTATACAGCATTCAGATAATAGAAGCAGCACCGACGACGATGACTCATCAGAGACTGATTCCGACGATGATTAATTTTCTATATTTGTCATACGCACTTCATTGTACTAATCTTGTTCTTCCTACTCCTCAAATAAATAACTTATATACATCTTCTGAATGTTTCTACGCCACTTCTTATAATTAACGATTTTAAGCAATTCGATTCAATTCTTTAAGAGGTAGAAAGTATACCATTTTGTAGCGCGTGCAAAATCCTATCGATCTGTATATAGGAAACCCCATCGTCAAGTGTTTTTGTGTACCGTTAAAAGAGAATCCCTATGATATACATCGTAATATTCACATGGACACCATTCAGTCATCATAACCTCGCCCCTATATATACTTTTTCAAGGTGGTCCACAGATCATTCTGTGCAGAATTGTCTGCTCTTTCTAATGGAACTATTTGGTAGATGATATGAAAGAATTTTTGTTATGGTATCTTTGAAAAAACACTATCATAATAGGGTGAAAATTGAGTGAAAATACCAGGTAGTATTGTCCATGTGAAACTTTTCATATGGCTCCACATCGAGTTGAATATGGTGTAGAAAGATTCTCCGTCTCGTTCTGGATCGTTTTTGGTATTTGGCAAGCTGATTTTGAAATGGGCCGATTTACGGTCTTATACGCCACCGTCCTTTCATACTCGTCTAATGAAATTAATTCTTCTACAATTAGTTTATTAAAACTCGAATCTAATGAATTTTTTAAGATTATTCTCGTTTCTATCTGTTCCCTGCTTTCAGCAACGCGATCAATGAAAAATGACCGAAGGAATAAATGCAATTTTCAAGAAAACTTTCGAATTGTATATAGGTGTTGCGCGACTATCACTTTATACAAGAAAATCTGTTGGGATTGAGTTGAAAATGACAAAAATATTCTCACTGTATGTTAAAATTTGCAATGCAGATGCTCGTTTGAGTAAAGAAATTATGGTCATCGGACATATGCCTTCAACGTAGTCATGCATGAGTTCGCGGGGTAATGATGTTGCCGCATGAAAACCAATTAATTCCCTTAAGGAACTTGGTCCAGTCACCCCCTTCAATGATGCGCGATTAGGATCATTGACTATTTTATCAACAAGATCATCGTGATTAGTCATTGATCGAGTTTGAAATTTTTCTAATGAAATCGGTAGATTCTTCTCTGGATATGTAATGTAACATCTTCTACAAAAGTAGCCCCCATTAAAACAGGACTGGAAAGCACCTATAAAATGTGATGATAGATTGTCAGCAACCACCGTGGAAAAAGAGAATGTAAGATAGACACCATGAATTAAAATACCATCTAACTGCAACCTGTTCAAATTTTCAACTATTGGTGCAAAGAAACGCTCAACTTCGTCATTGTTCTCAAAAAAGAAATCAGGAATAATATAGAAGGATATTGTTTCTACCAATGCCATTAGATTGAGTTTTCTAACTCACAGTTCTCTTAGTGCATGTTTGATTTTTTATTAGAAATTTACCTTTAACTGCTTGCTCTCACAAACAGCAACTAATTGGATGAAATCAAGTTTTGAACGGTATTTATCTGGAGTGCCTTCCAAAGAAAAATAAGCCATTGCCATTTTATGTCTATCACGTTTTGCACCAAGAGGAATAGTCAGACCAATATCGTCCACATACAATTGAATTAAAAGACTTTCTTCATCAAATCGACTACCATACATTCCATCTCTCACTGAAAGCATAAGATCTGGATTATTGTCAACAGTGATTCGCTGTCGATGAATATTTTCTAAAATCTCAAGTAGAAGTGGTGGAAATTTCAACATTGATGATATTGTTAGATCGATCGGAATACAATAACCGAGTTCGACACTTTCATCGGGCGATGATAACACTACTTGTTCCGGTGAAATCAAACCGAAATATTTCTCACAGTTTTTCATGAATTGATAATTATTCTTAGAAACCGATTCAATCGTATCAGACAAATCAGTCAGCGTTTTGTGTAACTGATGACTTTCAATAATTGGTTGATTTCATTTCGGTAATGCTGATGTGGCAGATGGATGAACACCTCTAGATGTTGCAATTGCTTTTTTATTTAGTAAAATTTTCAGATGACGAAGAAGCGTTACAATATACGTTGAAATAATATTGGCCACACCCTATGGCAGTAAATATTCTTCACGCAATTCCAAAATAAACAGCAAGTACAATTGTTTCATAATCAACAACAATTCAGAAACACTTTCGTTAGTATTAGTCGAAGTAAAGAATGATGCAGGATTATAAGTATTCGTTTCGAAATCGCCGTCGATAAGATTTGCATGGAAATTATCATAAATTGAATCGAATGTTTCATCACCATCGCTGATTGCTTCCGAATTCACATTTGAAGTATTTATATTTTCTTGGTGTTCATTATCGTTTCGACTAATATTCAAATTATCGTTCGATTTGTTTTTCAACTGAAGTTCAGACATGCTTTTTCGGTAATCGTGAGCTTTATACGCAGAATACGTTCTACACAACGCTCCACAAGAATTATGTAGATTGCATGTGGTACTGAAATTCGGTTCGTTTTGATGGTATAGTGTTATGTGTTGAAACATTCTAGCAAAACTGTCGAAATGTCGATGTGTTAGACAAAGCGAACAACTGAATGATGACATCCTGTGCTTGATAAATACGAGCGATCGATATTAAATGAAGTATTTATTTACAAATTTGTGAAAATGGATTAATGAATAGGAAAAGCGTGACTGTAAATGATTGGATCACGAAAATATAAACAACTCGATTTGTTTCGTCTGCACAAGCGCATTGGTCTATTCTCCTTCGAAATATAAGAAAGCAACTAACCTAAAGAAATCTTACTTCGGAAACTTTCTCTCATGCACTACGATGATCGATTCGTTAACACAAACACAGCAAGACTTCCTGTGACAAAAAACATGCATGCTTTTGCGCAATAAACTAAAACTGACTAACCTTCAAATCTTGACAAAATTGAATGATCGTCAATAAATGACTTGCACCAAGTTATAACTTCTTTACAAGACTAATTCATGATAAATAATTAAGCAATAGCTGAAATAATAAAAATAGTGTGTATATTTAGTGAAAGTGTCATTACTACAATATCAAAGAAGCGCGAAACAAAGATTGTTAGTATTTTTTCCGTCCTCGGTTGCAGTGCCTCGTCCGTTCACATATATCCATCGCAGATGTTTTATCTAATAACAGAAACGTTCGATAGGTGGTGGTATCTCCTTTGAGGTGTGCAAATGTATAACAAACATAGAGCACTATATTCGTATGAAAGATATAAAATACAAAAACTAATTAGGTTACGTGACCTAATTCGTATTTTTCGCGCAATATCTTGCCCATCGCTAATACAATCTTTAATTTAGTGCGCCGTTATGTGTTAGAAATCGCTTGTAAGATTTATTCTGCTTATGAAATGTTAAACTCTGAAGCACCAAATCATGAACAGAGTCTTCAGAGTGAAAACTAAGCTCTGATGCGTTCGTAGAGTAGTTCCGTGCATGGAAGTACAAGACAATCAACCAATAGTCGTAACGATGACGATGATCAACCCCCCTCCGTGCAACGAAAAACCCTTTGTAGGATAGAGGATTAGAGCAATTCTTAACTGTGCGGTGATAAACCCTTCACAAGTGAACAAGAGAGATCCTGGTTTTATCCGCAGAATGATATACCCTGTACTCTCATAGAGAGAAGGATCAACCTGCATCCGTAGAATAATATATTCATTAATGTAAGAAAGAATTATAAATCTTTTTTCAAAAAAGTAAATTGATAAACCTTAAATCATAGGGTGATATACCATTGTCTCGACGTCAAACAATGATATATGAATAACCATTCAACGGCATACGCTTCCGCTGCGATACCGTCTTAGAAAATCCTTGGTAACTTTGATGTACTTGTAGAATTTTTATACGCCCTACGGTTGATAAACGCTATGTCGGATATACCGTTGAAGGCTTTATCATATGAGCATAAACCCTTCAAGAGTTTCTCTTCAAAAATTACTAGCACAACGATAGATCATTCGGCGGAATTTTTTTCAGCGCAATCCTGCACTATACTCTATTTTTTTTATTATCTGAAATGCGTATTTGCTTCTCCATATGGATTACTGGCATGCGAACTGTTTGACTAAATATTTAGTTAATATAACAGATCGTAATGCTTCGTTTCGTCTCTATTTCGATGTCAGAAATGAATACAGATGCTTGTGAAAGAAACAGGGTGTGAGTGTTTATTAGTGTACCAAATCAACAACCGATCATCAATGTACATTGACATCATAGAACTGGTATGGAATTGTAGCGAACAAGTTTTCTATAAACGAAAGCGTTTAAACGACGACAGTTCTTGAATACGATGCGTGTAGTGAGGTAAAAAAATTCGTGATGAAACTCTAAATTCGTGAAAATACTATGAAATCTTGACCGAAAATTACAACAACAATTCTCACAGGTAATGTGTACTTTTTGATGGATTGTCGTAGATATCACAACAACATTTTCAGACCAGTAAAACAACAGCATATAATTTACGTATCAACGTTTCAAAATTATAATTAGCCGATATATCCACGTCAAGTATTAGGTGTCGGTAAGTTTCAAAGAGAAAATAGACGTTGAAATGCCTCAATGTTTTAAATTTGTACTGAAAACATGCATATTTGGAAAAGTCAGCGTGTACACGGCAATCAAATTGGTTTTCTATGCAATTATACACTAAGAAATTATGGGGATTATGATTTTTCGCGTTTATTCGCTAAAAACAATCGGAATCTCGGTGTTTTCACGCCCACTTTTTTCTACACACGGGTAGTCACCCAAAGAACGATATTTCTTGGCGTGAAAATGCGTTTTTTGCGATTCCTGTCTGCTTGGCTATCTTCGAAAGTTGAGTATTTTATATATGTAAAAGTGTCTTTGCTCAATTTATTTCTTCGGTTGTTATGAATCGGTAAAGAATTTCGCAGCTCATCGTCCAATGAAAGGATCAACACCAGTGATGTATCCGAAAAGAGATTATAGTCAAAATATTGGGATTGCCATGCTTATGGCCCATTCGTTGCTATATGCTTTTTTGATCTCGATTACCGTTCAGTCAAGTTTTGTTCATGAAAATGATCATTGGTATAAGAATTAGTGTGAGAAAAGAATAATGAGCGAACAAACCAATTTCACTCACTCTGCATATTCTCTTTTCTGCAGAAAGAATTTTTACAGAAATTTTGTATCAAATTAAAAGCAAGTCAAGAGTAGACATGAAAAAAGTTTTAAAACACCGTAATAAAAGCCACGTGAAGGCACAGTTGAAAACAAACATCATTAAGCAAAAAAAATATCGCGCATAAGCAACCAAGTGAATCCGACGAAGTTTGATTGAGAGTGAATAAGTATATTATGTTGACGAGAACGCACCAATCGACAAACAGAGGAAATGAATAAAGGAGTGAAAAGATAATAGACTTCACATGCTATATACGAAATCACACAAGGATAAATCTTTCTTTCGTGCTACCTCTTATAAATTCCGTTAGCTTCGTGAGCAGGTTTGAACTAGCGAATACTTATAGTGGTAACGATAAAGTATTTTCTGAACAAATAACTTCACATTGGTTAGCAGTCTTCCGCTGTGCTGATTTTATTCCCTGTTGTATGCTTTTTGAATAAAAAAAGATAAGGTCAAATGCATTTTGATATCCAAGTGAACCGATAATCGGTTACCAACGACCTGTCGTCATTGTTACATCTATAAAGTGAAAGAGAGAGAGAGAGAGAGAGAGAGAGAAAGAAAGACAGAAAGAGAGAAAATTCACGCTTGGGTGGAAAAGGTGACACGCCGGCGGTGAGAGAATGTGCCCTATAAAAATTCACGTATTTGATGATCCCTCTGTTTTTGCAAACAAACACTTCAATACGTATCAGCAAGTAAGTATGATTATTTTTGCCGTTCTCTTGTTAGAAATGCTCTTTTCATCACATACTTTACCGTTAAAATAAATCCCTTAATAGAAATCGATTACCTGACTTAATTCGACGCAATTCATTTCAGAGGTACCCACGAGACGGAGCAACCCTTTTATTTATGCGTTTACTATTAGTTCATAAAAAAAAACAGCTCAATTTTGGCCAAAAGACAATCAGAAATACTGAAATAATGCGATTTTATGTACAAATGACATCTGATATGTTCATCAATTATAAGTCTTTTGAACTTTATCAATTTAGTGTACAGAATCTAACTGTATTAACATGTTTGTACAATACACTTGCCCTGCCACTTATCCTGCAGGACAGGGCAGGACAGGACAGGGCAGGACAGGACAGGGCAGGACAGGGCAGGGCAGGGCAGGACAGGGCAGGGCAGGGCAGGGCAGGGCAGGGTAGGGCAGGGCAGGGCAGGGCAGGGCAGGGCAGGACAGGACAGGACAGGGCAGAGCAGGGCAGAGCAGGACAGGGCAGGACAGGGCAGGGCAGCACACAACAGAAAAATGTCCTCTGTAAACATTTCCGATTCAGCCACTTAATTTTGGTTTTCCATTTCAAACTTGATATGAAGTGTAGATTTTTCATGAAAAATTTACTTAAAATATTAGATTGGTAAGATATTTTTTAGATTTTCTAAAATTTTCTTTCGATTCTTTTAACTCACAAAATATAATAAAATGGTGTCTCAGGAATAACGGACCTATCAGTACTTGACTGACATCTTTGTTAAAACAAATAATTTTGGAACTAATGTTTTTTTAAAGATTCCTCTTTTCATCGTCTACAACACTCTATAGTCCATATTTCATTTGAACGTAGCTTGATTACAGTATAAGGTGAAAAGTAAAGACCTTCAAAACGTGCTTTTTGAAAGCGTAAAGGCAGTTATGGTCCTATCACGATTTTTCGTGATTTAAATAGCTCTTTAGGGTTGACTACCATCAAACGATGGTGCAAAATAATCCGTTACATCAGTTCTATCCAGCTGTCAACACCACCAGGTCGTCCATGTTTTGTTCGAATGAGTCAAATGGTCGAAGTAAAAAAAGAACTCGATCAAAATATTTCTGTTCGTCGGTTAGCTAGCAATAAGTTTTCTAAATCACGTGCGGATCATATACTGAAAGAAGATTTGAAACTTCATGCCTTCAAGATGTCAATCCAAGCGAAACTGATTACAGAACACAAAATCAAAGTAAAAAAGATTCATTGATTAGGTCGTTACGAATTTTCAAAATAAAGACACCTCAAGGATTTTATGCCCAAATGAGAAAATCTTTAGTCTCGGCGGCGTATATGATTCCCAAAACGAATATATTTGGGCTGTTAGTGAGGATGAAGCCGATGAAAAAAAGTAGTATCAAAATCAAACAGAAGTTTTCTCAAAGGATCATGGCTTGGTTAGAGCTTTGCTATAAGGAAGTGACACCATTAGTTATTTTCGACCGAGAGGCAGCAGATCATGTTGAATATATCCAGCGAGTTCTTGCAATTGCGCTTAGATATGGAAACGACGGTTTTGAAAAGCATCGTACATTTCAACAGAACCGTGTAAAACCTCACATCCATCGCTTAACACAAAAATAGTACCGGAATAACTTTCTATCGTTCGTGGATAAAGATTATTAGTCATCTAACAGTCCAGATCTTAATCCACTAGACTATTGCGTCTAAAACGCAGTTGCACAACGTGCCAACTGGGAGAGGAACATCGAAACCCGTAATAATTGATGAATTAAAACGCGCAGTAAAAAAGTCGACAACATACTGTTTTACAAAGTTGTTCATCTTGAACTGTTCGTTTGTAACTGTGACGATTTTTGAGGGAAGAGATGTATATCCGGATGGAATCATGTCTTTCTTTAATCTTCCTATCATAAATCGCATCGTTCTAATACAGAAGATACGTTTATATACCCCGCTCTCGACAGAAAGGAAGGAAGGATAATGCCAAAGTACATAAAAATGCACCGAAGTAGGGACAAATAGCACGCATACAGCGCATGCGAAAAAGATCGTCACAGCAACGTGTTTTGGAAAATGATGGATGTTGTCTAAAAAAATTAAAAGTATATCATTTTGTCAAGCTTGAAAAGATCTATATTTTTCAACAAGAGCCGCAAACGAATTAGATTTGATGTAAATAGTCGTAAAGCACCGTGAGGTCCACTATTCCTGGGGCACTCGTTAAACCATTCAATGGAAAGTTGCTGTTCTTGAGGCAATCGAAACAATGTTGCACTGCAAGAATGAACATCGCGTCTATGTCCGGCGTGCTACATATGTTGCTCGTTACTTTGTTGTTTTATATCCCAAACGAAATTCATGGAGCAGAAACGTCCTTGGCTCTCGCCGAAATATATTAGTTGTACTTCGAAATCGATATCCATATTTTTGGTTCCATTATTGTTCGAAAGATACTTATGCCCTCTTCATATACTCTTAGTATGGAACTTTCTGAAATCTTCTCGACTGCTCGAGAGAATTTGGAGAAAAAGCAAGATTTTTTACGAGCCTTAAATAAGTGTTCATTTCTGTGACCTACTCCTAGCCTTTACCGCTCCCACTAGTTTCCCCTTCTTTCTGTACACTTTGCGGATATGCACCAAGCTCAAATGGTTTGGGCTTGGGTACTTTGTGATATTCACTTTGGATTCGAATTTATTGCGTAATCAATTTTTCCTCTGAGTTCTTGTTTAGAAAGAAACGAGGTAGTTTTCCCCTTCTCATATGTTACCTCGCATTTTACTTACTTTTCTTTAACTTGAGGGTGTGCGATCGTATGCGCTCCTAAACACCACTCACGCCATTACCATCATCTTTATCTAAATAAGAGTTGTTCACTGCCAGATGTTTTTGCTGTATATTCGTTTTTTCGTAGAGAAGAGTCTACTAAACATTAATTTCTGCTTGCTTGTATGTCCGTAGGGCCAAAAAAACATCGAAGATCAATTTTTTGGAAAACACATTTTTAGAGATAGTTCGATGCTGAGACTTCGAATCTGATGTTCGCTCCTCGAAGTTTTTAGATGAGGGACCACTTTTTCACGAAAAATTTTTTATTTCTAAAAATTGACCAAAGAGTTTTTGGGTCGAGGAATTTGAATCGAATGTTAGTCTTTTGAGAATTAAAAAAAATTTGGAAACAAAGGGTATCCATTCTCGAAAAAACATGTATAACCATATGATATCGGGTACAGTCAAGTGTATAAGTATGGTAAATGAAATATTCTCGTCAATGTCTGGTGACCTAATAGTTAATTATTGATCTTCATAAACGAACTCTGAAGTAACGTAGCTGTTGTTCATATACACAATAGTGCATTAAAACTATGACACCTGAAATCAATATTTCTACGAGAAAGAGCTGAGCGAGTCTAACGACAAGCATTACTTGTATCATTAATGTTACATTCTAGAAATGTTAACCCGTGGTAACGATGGTACAGATGGCAATACAAAAAATGAATCTTGGTAATGATCTCCAATTCACGAGACTCAATGAACTCACTCTTCCTTGTATATGCACGCTTGTAGGTCGATGACGCCATGGGCACCGTGTTTGGCTATATGTATTATTCTGGTGATTCTATTTGTAATCGTTGTGGTTATCGTTGGATCACTTATACCTGTGTATCTCTCTTCGAAAGGCACTGATATCAACGTGGCAAGCACGAATAGCGGTAGAACAAATTTCGCTTTCACTGTTTTCAGTTTTATGCTGTTTCTCTCTAGCTGTGCGACTTTTCACTATGAACTCAGCTATCAATCTGGCTCTTACAGGCTCGCAGACAATCGCAAATCAGGATGGAATAGGTGCACAGGTTCGCTTTAATTCTTTGTTCTTCCCTTATGATTGAGACCATCTGAATCTCGTGCTATAGGTCAACAAAGCCCTTGGCTATTCAACTCCAGTAGTTGCTGTTCGAACTACAAGCTTAACCAATGGCGGAAAACGGAAGCGACAAACTAGGTAAACTACTTCCTGAGTTTCTCTTGCTCCTGAATCATTGTTTATATGGTACATGGTGTTTAGGGTCGGCTTATCTTGCGGAGGAAGCAGCGTTTTATCTTTAGGACTGCTCATCATCAGATGTCCCGACAGTTCCTGCATCACTGATAGTTGCTTCGAGAAATGTGCTGCGGATATCAAGCGTCGAATAGAACTGAAGCTCGCATCAGTCGTAACTCCTATCACGATTACTACAAATGATGGCAGCGAGCTTTTGGCTTCGATTATATTTTGCTCTTTTAGCAGTTATAATTCAGGTAAGATCAGCGAGTCAAATCTAATGCCAATCAATAGAATAATCTCTGAGACTAAGTGTGAAAGGTTTGACGCAGAAATAGCTAAAATGAAGTGTGTATTCAATCTCTCATTATAGTTGCTCTCGCGTTTAACCCGTCCTTGCACTTCTAGCTATGTCTTTCGAATATACAATGGATGCTTCTGAAGGAAGAAATAGTGAGACTTCAGAAATAAAATACTTCAGTTCTCACTTCACTCGCACTTAACTAACTACCTGAAGTAGATGCAGTTTAGATTTCGGTGGGGCAAAGCTTTTTGTCTTGACCCCGATATTTTTTTGCTAACAGGTCAGGGTGAGTGCGAGAGCAGAGATATATTTTCTTTGTCAACATTCATGCTGTGTAGTCATCTTCAAGATCGTCCGATTGATTTTTCGCCCTCTAAAAAATGTTAGTGTGTTTATTATGAATTCTCTTATTATTGTTTTGCTTGCATTATTTGACTATATTATGTGTATTATTCTTAAGATCTTTGGAAACTATAGTCACACGTAACAAAGGTGCGTAGAAATACATCGCATATGCGAATTCAGATGGAATTGTACATCTTGATAAAGTCAAAATAAAAAGAATTCGACACCTTGAGGCTGAAAAAGCGAAAGCAAACGTTTAGGAACAATATGCAAATACCTTTTCACTTAAGTATCGGTACTAAGTAAATGTGTACTGGGTGTCAGCACAAAAGTATTCTCGATAAATACAAGTAGATGTATTTGTACTATTGAATATAGATTTTGTACTAACAAATCTTGTTTAAAAAAGTACAAAAGTACTGAGTATTGTACTTAGTATCCGGTCTCTGTTATCTAGCATCAAAACTTGATTCAAGTTAGCTTTCCGATAATGATTATGCAGCAAGCTGGAAGCAATATGTTTCCCTCTATTGACCAAGTGATTTCCATATGCTTCTAACTGATTTTAATAATAATGCTTTTATTTCTGTGGACAGATTCAACATCAACTGTGGCTACTACAAAAGTGGCAACAACAATAGCAAGTACAACACGTAAGTTGCTTCCGCATTCTTGACGCTAAGTTAAAAATGACAACCACACCATTTACTGATGAATTCAAACTGCGCCAATGCGATGGTAGATGAAAAACTATTCGAAATATCAGCGAAGCAGTAATCCTCCGAGTAATTACGCCGAGATCCGTTGTGCAACGTATTACGTTTTTCCATGAGAATAATTGTGCTAGTATTCGAATTCTAAGTCACTTCTTCAGACAAATTTTTCTTGAATGGCCCATAATAGTTTCCATTAGACTTTTCGCTTTCAAAGGAAAAACTTCGATTTACGTTTACTTGTATGCCAATTTGTGCAAAATGAACTAAAAGTATCCAATGTATTTGAGGGAAACCTAGGTAAAATGGTAATCTGAGTTTTCTGGCAGCATACAGTTGGCATCAGTTGATATATTAATGTTAAGCTCATGATAATATGGTAGCGTTCAGGACTGAATACTGTTTGTTATGATTAGTTTCTGAGATTAACAACAGATAAAATAATTAAGGAAACATTGATCGAAATTATTGGTAAGCCACAAGAAAATAACAAGTCTTGCCAAATCACGTACATGTCTTTGATATTTACCCACATGTAAAGACTCAAAGATACCTAATTACAAGTAGTTAGTTGGTTGATTCAATTGACAATGAATGATGTTTTATAAATCTAAATTTTAGCTCTACCAGCTTGCAGTGCTAGTGTTTGTTGCGTTACCAGTTGTACTCTTTGTCTTGACAGTAGCACTGTCCGTTACTGCGGAGCTACTCGGAATAATGATGGTGGTAGTGGTCTTGGCGGTGGTAGCGGATCTGGCGATGGCCGCGGTTCGTATGCTTACTATAGTGATAAGACCTGCATTAGTTCTGGTTCTGGTGGTGGTTCTTGTGTTATATAAAGAGCCGATAACTCGTTGACTTACATTGATATGATTACATCAAAACTGAAAATCTCTTAACTTACTAATTCAAAAAGTGTTTTACTAACTTCATTTTATTCTTTGCGCTCTTTTCACATTGTCTTCATTCTCACTATCAATTATATTTTCACTTATTAGTTAAAATTTCCTCATCTTATTCGACGCTAGTTAACTAAATCAAACTTTTACATTGAAAAAAGAGTAAAGCTTCCGCAACAGTTGTGAGTATGACTCCCATATTTCCTATTGTGATCAGTTTGCGACACAGTTGCGCTGCAATGATCGCATTAGTGCCGATCTCTATGCCAACTCTTTTGCACCAACTATGACAATAATAATCGTTGATGGAACCACCTAAACTATTGTGCTTTATGATCTCTTCCTTCTTATTTATTAAAGAAGCAGAACCACACAATTTTTAAAATAAAAACATATATACAACTGTAGTCAAAAAAAACTTGCAGAAAATCTAAAATTTTATATAACGGTTTTCTTACCATTCGAAATCAATGACGAAAATCTTTTTTTTTCAGGGATATATGTACATTAGATATATAACACGTTGAACATAGGGAAACGTGATTTCTTTTCTTTTCTGTACATACAATTTTAATCATGACGACATGTAGTAACTTAAAAATCGTCATCTATCAATATTATACTATGGGAACAAAGCCATAAGACCTGTTCCTGATGTTCATCGTGAAACAAAAATTCCACTGAGGATTATATATTACAATATCAATAAATTGGAATAAACAAATTCACTTAAACATGGAAGAGAAAATGGTCGACCACGTGTACTTTGTGAAATAGAAAAGAAAGCTATCGGTCAATATATTCATCGAAAATGAAATTACCATTAATGAAATCAAAGAAAAATTATCAACAATACGTCGTCATCTCTATCGATCTGACTATGGAAATGTATTGCCCAGAAAAATCCATATATTAACATTCTATAATAAACAAAGATGTATTCAACAGGCCAAGAAACATAAAGACGATGATTTTACACATACAATATTTACACATGACTGTTCATTTCTACTTTATCGAAATATAGTTCGCCGGTGGTCGAAATGTCCAAATAATGAAGTTAAACCAATACCAAAAAATCGTCAAAAATTCCATGTGTAGAGTGCAGTGAGTACAGAAGGTGTATTGAACTACCACACCTTTAAATGCAATCTTAATGGTGAATATTATGTTCATATACTCAAAAATTACCTTCTTCCTGCTGCAAGGCGGCATTTTCATCGAAACTCGCGTCTACGACAGGACAATAATCCGAAACATCGAAGTAATATTTGTAAAAACTTCATTGAAGACCATGCACTGGATTTGTTAGATTGGCCATCTAACAGCCCAGACGTTAACTCAATTAAAAACATCTGGTCGATCGTAAAACGCAAAATTGAAACGAGGGAGCCAAAAAATATTGACGAACTTGAATGTTTTTTAGTTGTAGAATTCAAAAATATGGATATTAATATTGTAAACAATTGTACCATGTCCATGAAAGATAGATGTTTGTCACTTATTTCTTCTAAAGGTGAACGAATAAAATATTAGAATATAGTGTTGTCCAGTGTTTGTCGTAGGCTATCAAAAAACATGTATGAAAATAGTTGAAAGTCACTTACAATAAAGATTTGTTCGCAAGACAAGGTGTGCAAGTTTTTTTTACTACATCTGTAATAAGTGAAATAGCATCACCAGAAGGGTCTGGTCGTTAGAAAGACCTTGTTTCTATCGATAATTACAACCGCCTGCCATCATTCTTCACTTTCCAACAATAACGGCCCACTTTTTATTGGCTCATAACACATTCGCAGCACCCACCAACCTATAAATTACCCAAAATACATAAAAAATACTCACCTATGACTCACCGGCGATGCCCAGCTACCAATAATTCATTGCGAAAGGCCATCCATCACTCACAATGGAACGTTCCCAACTGTCAAACCACTTTTCCACCGGGCATAGTTTCAAACGATAGGTCTCAAAGAGTTATCAAATACCCCAGAATAGTTCGGCTTTCTGATCTTTCTAAAAAGAGGTATACACGTATTGCCATTGTTGGCTTTGCTGTATCATACTATGCGTATTTTTTTTTATTAAGGTTAATAACCTTTAAAGGATGAAGATAACGATGCATCCTCGGCTATAAGTGAACTTCGCTTCTGTAGCCTGAATAAAACCATGCAGAAATGCGAAAATCATGGGTTAGGATTTGACAAACTAAGTCCCCTCTGCTATTTCCGAAGGAATAGAGGAGAAGCGCGACAATAGATGTTACAGTTTTTCGCCCAGGATGGTCCCCAAGTATTTAAATATCTTGATTCGATCGATTTGATGACCTTGACAGACGACTACTGGGACTTTTGGAGCAACTTGTTGTTGAATAATTTCCAGTTTGTTTTATTGAAGTTAATCGGTTGCTTCCAGGTTTTCGAGCAGTCGATAAGTCGATTTAATTGAATTGGCATCCAAAATACTGTCGAATGTGTCGAACGAGAGTTTTTCATTTGGAGGTGAATAACATGATACTAGTTGAAATGTCTTATTACCCATACCAACTTCGAGTACTATTAAGTTATTGACACCGTTAAATTCATCGTGACGACGACATTCAATTGATTTGTGAATTGCAATTAAGACGCCACGGAAATCATTTGATCCTTTTGATGTAATGACATTATGGCTAAAGAAATGCGATGTAAAACGCTTGGCGATGTTGTCCTTGTGGTAAGTTCCTTTTAGGATAATGATTGGAGGAAACGTAGATTGAATAAGCTCGAATACTTCAGCTAGATACTTACCTAGACTGGCAACATTAACCAGTAACATTGACATATAACTACACGAGTTTAACATATTGATCGAATTTTCACGATAAACAGATCATTTCCTAAGAAGAAGATCGAGGTTATATGCATTTGTCCACTCACTAGTATCTGCTTGCAAGAAGTTGATTTCAGATTCCGAGAGACCATTAGTAGGAGTAACAATTGGAGGATAGTGATGTGGGTGCGGACTAAAGACTGTTGCTAGCGGGTTCATCTTGTACTGAGTTCTTTGATAGTACTTCTGACTGTTGATTTGAATTATTACTGAAAGATTTCATCAATGAATCTAAGTCAACGTTCACATGTTCAGTCAACAGACTAAGTTGACGATTTTTTTCGTTGTCTGTTTTACCTATTAGTAATATCTTTTGCAACATCGAGCGACAGAGAACAAACATGGTTCACCACGAAGTCTTTGACTAATTGTACAGTTTCCTGACATGATGTAATCCGCTGGTTAATATTGTTGATTTGTTTTTTTAATTGATCCTGCTTTTTGGTCAATATCCCCAATTTCTCCAGGACTTGATTCAGTTTCTTTGAGATAGTTAATTCAGTTGGAGATAAAATAATTGGATCCTAATTATTACTTGTCGTTTTTGATACAGCTGTGTCAGCAGGTTGACTGTTTCGGTTAAATAGATTATTTATTGGGTTTGTCCAGACATCCGCTGGAGTATTTGAAGCAACATTCCTGTAAATGTTCGATTTGGCCGAGTTTAATTTCATTTTGGCCCGTTCTTCATTTTTTATCGGACAGTTAGGGTTTCCTGCTAGATGGTCCCCTTGACAATTTGTGCAATGAATTCTTTTCGTACAATTTGAATAATTAGGGTGAGGATTTTCGCTGCGGTGGCAGATCGGATCGTCTTTTCTTAGACAGCTTGCGGCTACATGACTGTTATAGCTTTGACAGTTGTAACATCGGAGTATCTTGAATGGTGGAATGTATTTCTGCACCGGGAAAGTCGTATTTTTATTTTCTAATAGAATTCACTTGTTCTTAAGGATTTCTTCCATCTCTTCTTTCAACGCAAAATCGATTCTTGCTTTGGAGATCGGTGTACCACTTCTAACCAGCATTCTTTCGATCTTGACAATCGATGAATATTTCCTTTTTACTTCAACTTCAAACTGTGTTAAATTCCACTAGGCCGGGACATCAGTGACGATTAATGAATGCGAAGCTGGGACCTTGGACGAGATAATCAAGTTGTAACTACGTAGGCAAAATGTCGATGGCCAAACACTTTTGTTCAATAAACGTTTATATTGACCGCTCGAGTTTGCATACAGCAAAAAGCTTTTCTTATTGCCTGTTTGAACAAAGCGACCATGAGATAAACTAACTTTGTCTGTCCTGTTAATGTCCTTGATAATAGACAATTCAGATGGCGTGTAATCATCGAGAAAAACTAGCTTGAAGGGAGGAAAGGACGCTTGTTTGTCTTTTCCATTCCCGCCATTTGACTTGTAAGTTGACGTGGAGTTAGTTGTCGAATGATTTATGTAGTTGTTAAAATATGGGTTGGGCTTGGCAGCCAATCGGTGTTCCTGTCCGCTTTGATGAGACCAATTTAAATTGATCGTCTTGATTAACGTCCATATGTTCACTGTTGATGGGAGTTGACTCCAACGAGTCCCCACGGGGCTCGTGTTGGTCCTGCATAACGCCACTGGCGTCCACCATAGTTTATTGGAGCAGCAGTATCGAAGACTCGCTACCAATAGAATAGTAAAAAAAGTTTACTGGAAAGTGTGGGTAGTCCAAGCGCGATAATACGATGAATGATACTATGCGTATCACATAATATGTCCAATATACATAAATAGAGTGCGGTTTCTTCCTCGTCTGACGATAACAAGAAGCAATTTTAAGACTGTTGTTTCATTCAAAATTTTCTCGAAAAGAACTAACACAGTCCATAATTATAAGCAAACTAATTGTAGTAGAATAAAGACTATATACGTATATTGATCGAATATATTGTAATAATACAGCAAAGCGCACAGTGGTAATAAGCGTACATCTCTGTTTGGGAAGATCGGAAAACCAAACCATTCTGGAGTATTTGATAACTCGTTGAGGTCTATCGTTTGAAACGATACTCGCTGGAAAAGCGGTTTGACAATTCAGAACGTTTCCTCGTCAGTACGTAAAAAAATAGTATCTCGAACCACATGAACGAGACAAAACCGAAATCTCAAATCTCATTTGTTGAAAAAGGTTATTCATCTTTCGTACGCCTCATTTTCCCATACAATGACTCATCTTATTAGTGGCTCATACATATCTTAGATATCACACCTTTCGAAGTTTACCGTTGTGGTAGCAAGTGGCACGGTAGTTGAAAACTGAAAAAAAATGAGCATGAATCGTTTTTGCATCTCCTTTTATACTCGATTACTAGCATTAGAGGTTATTATTTAAAATCGTCCAATAGATTAGCTAGACAAATACGGCAACTGCGACACAATAAGTACAGTATCATTTATGTGGCCGACTGCGATAGCTGTGGCGCAGTCCTAGAAAAACAGGTGACATGGGCTCTTACATATAGAACATTTGAGAAACTGTTGTTTAAAAAATCTTGTGCAGGTAGCGAAAGACTTATTAATGCGGTTAATGATTTTATCGTGTGGCTCTGTTGTTGGTTATTACAACATGAGGAGGGGTGGCCGAGTAAAAAGCTGACTGAAAGTTAGAGTTAGAACCAAGTAAGATTATTCTGATTTCTATTTTAGTGTCGAATTCTGATTCCTATGTGGTCATGAATCGAACGAAGTCAATCTTTTCATCTATGCATAGAGACCATGGAAAAGATTTTGAGTTGAGGGATTCAGAGAGCTTCGCATTATTTCATTGGCGTTTGAGAATATTCGGTCAGCTTTCTAAAATGAGGGTGAGAAAAGTATAATGCATTTGCGAGCCAGAGGGGGAAGGGATACTATTTTTTTACGTACTGACGAGGAAACGTTCTGAATTGTCAAACCGCTTTTCCAGCGAGTATCGTTTCAAACGATAGACCTCAACGAGTTATCAAATACTCCAGAATGGTTTGGTTTTCCGATCTTCCCAAACAGAGATGTACGCTTATTNGAATTTTAAGATGAATGTAAAAAGATACGCGTTTTTCACAGAAAATTCGCTTATTGCCCCCGTAAAAAAAATTAGTCAGCCCGCCTATGGTATAATGGATCGATAATAGTACTGATGAGAGTGAAAGTAAGACCTATGCTATATATCTGAAGCTCAAAATAAACGTCAGAAAGGAAATGTAGATGATTGTGTATATGAGGATAATGGTGAGGGTCGGATGAATATGAAGAATATGCGATAGGGAATAGTTTGAGAGTGAAAATGAGGCTGATGAGCGAACGTCTACAGTTGAGAATAAATCTTGGTGAAAGAAGTATTTTAAACAATTTTTAGCCAAGAAATTGACTCCGGTAATTCTTGTGTGTAACGAATTATAACCGAAATTGTCATTTTGTGCAATGCACGACAATAAAGACAAGACTCACAAAAGGAGAAGTTTGAAGCATGTTGATCTTTCTATCTGCTACAAATTTCCAACGCATAGAGCATTTTATATAGATATTTCTCAATTATCACCGAGTATCCTCGCTGGGTGTTAGTACAACTAAATGAATAAATCGATAAAATTGTATACGTTAATAAAGAATAATTCCGTTTTTTATCCTAGCAACACATTTTCTCTCACAATATACCTTCCCAATGTTAAACAAATGATTATTCTGAATCAGGATCAACTTCGAATTAAAAAGTACACAATAAGATACGCATGTTTGACCCTTTTTCTCTACTAAGAAATATTGCTAGTAGAACTATCTTATGTTCCATATAATCCACATGTATATATACAAACTATCCTCTTTTCCTTTGGAAATCATGTGTAAGAATATACTGAGCACAAAATGCATTTAACTTTATCATTTTGTATATCTTAGTTTTTCTTCATTTGAGCTTATTATAGCACAAGAAACTGAGTACAGAAAAAGGTGATGAGAAAGTGGCAAGACATGTGCCGTCGTGGAATCGAACGACGAAAGTCGCCCTACTACGTTGCTGAAATAGTTTTCTTCAGGAAGAGTATAATTTAAGATAGGTTCATAACCCTTCTGCGACAAATGCATGTGTTATTTATGCTTTAGACTGGGTGAAAAATATTTCGAACGATTTCAATAATTGAATATTGTGTCTGTAGCTCTCCTCCGCTATTTGCACTAGCGCAGCTTGTCTTTCTTGGAATTCTTGGTATAAATATTTAGAATTTGATATTCTAATCATCGCTTGTGCATCATCTTCATTTTGTAGTTTCACCCATACTGACTGTTTATTTAATATTTGATAAGTTTCTAACAGCTTTTCATCTACAACCAGTGGTGTGCGGTTAATAATAGAGGACGGTATTGTAGAGGAGGCAACGGATTTGTAGTAATGTTTATTACCGAGTAATGGTAACATACCAATTGATGACTGAATTTTAGAATAGTATTCTTGATAGCCCACAGGCATATCCAACGTATATTTTGCTCGAATTTGGACAATTGATTGATTAATCAATTTTGCATCAACAGGAAGCGGAAATTTGTAATAATCTAAGCCACTGATGATTAGCACTGTCACATTGGTCTTTTTTAATTGATCAGCTGATTTTAATAAGCTCTGTGAGAGACCGGAATAATTTTTTCGCACATGTGTAACTGTACCTTGCACGACGAACTGTTTTGGCATGCGATTCTGCCGTGATAGTCTTATAGGAAATATTGGCAGGCACAAATGAGTACGATGAATCATTTTTAATTCGTCTAAAAGTAGTTTAGTTCCATTATCCGCGTTTTTAATCCAATTAGTGGTGAACTTCTGAACATGTTTAGATAGAGTAAGGAAATGAATTTGTATGTGATTTGGCATAGTGTTATTGTGAAACGAAAGATATTCTCTAATTATTGATATATCAAATGGTAAATCTACGTGAGCTTCGTTCACTTGTATCAATATGAGATAAATTCTACCAGAGCTGCGACAGTTTTCGTCTAACCTTTTCAGTACTAGTAGAATTGGTGCTGGTGAATCCTTTTGACAGGTCGTGAATATAATAAGGTTCTGCATACAGAACTTGTTATCATCGATGCTATTCGCTGATGACTCATAACTCCATTCGAATGGCAGAAATGGATACACTTGACTCATCCACGTTGAAGTCATTTCATATAAAGACTGTAGTCTTATTCTGGCTTTTAGTGCTATCGAGGCATCTCTTGTCACATTAGTAAATGCTAGAATAGAATTTAAAGGATTAGCTTTCCTTGCTGCGTAAACATATGAAAACCATATCTCATCATGATATTCTCGATGATTGATTATACTTATGTTTAAATAAATATCTCTGTGTTTAATTTGTTCTTCTCTCGTTGAATTGATTGCCGTTTGAAGTACAGCAAGCAGCAGCAATATTATTATCAGCGAAGTAATTGTAAAACGATCTCTTTTTAATATATGAAAGCTGATATTAATATAAGTTGATTTACTTTTACTGTCGCGAGACAAAAGGTTGCTGATAATGCGACTAGAAGAAATTAAGAAGCAGATTATAGATAATATAACTCGGATATATAAAATATCTTACCGTGTTTTATGATAAAGCACTTTTCTTTTACCGCTGCATAATGATTTTAATCCAGAACTGCTGAAAAATAGTCTGCGTATAAAAAAGAGAAAACACAAAAGAATTCCAGCTAAAAAAAGTTTCTTTCTTTTTCTCTGTTCAAAGAGTAAAACTACAGCAGTATGATTTTTCCAAATTTTGCGTTGATCATTAACATCACAGTCAATAATTGCAATAGCTTTCATGAATACTGATGACATTAAATCAGAAACTCCATAGGATTTGCCTACTTGAAGTATATTTACTAAATTTCTTCGTTTTAGTTTCAGCTTTTCAGCTACTATTCCATTGACGTAGACATCTTCGATCCAGAATGCTGGAGCTGAATCAAATATTTCACGAACTAATGGTATAATTACTTGTGGTGGATATATAACGAATGCACCATATACATAATCCAAAAAAGAGTCCGAAGCAAATTGCGATTTGGGAGTTACCAATCCCTGAGCAATTGGATCGGATGAACCCCGTTTAAATTCTAAATATTCCCGAACTTGTCCATAAATTGCCATTTCATTGCTTTGTTGTAGATGTATTAACAGATTTTTCACATTTATCATCGCATCATCATTCGTATACACCAGAGTAAAATTTGGACACTGTTGAGAAAACCATTTCAGTACTGCAACTGTTTTTAGAGTTAAATTAGAATAATTATCAATAAAGTCAAATTGTAATATATCATGGAACTGTTCTTCTTCAACTTCTAATCGTTGTTGATGTATTGATGTATTAACTTTCGACTTTCCAATCGCAAATAAAACAGGAGGAATTTCGTACTTTTGAGAAGCATCTAAACCCCACGATTCTCTGATGAATTTTCTTCGTTCGTGATGAATACCGGAAACATCTGCTGCGCTTTTCACCACGACTATCAAGTTATGAGGATTGTTATACTCAGTGCAAAAATTAATTTTCTTTATGAGTAGATTTTTACTACTTAACCGAAGATCACGTCGTGTATGCATTCGATGTTCGACGCTTGTAATAACTTTGCAAACCAGTATAAGTATAAAGATTCGCAACCATTTCATCACGTTAACTAGATCTATATAAAATTAAACAAGATTTATTTCACGTAGTCGGAAAAATTCGCTGGTCATCAATTGCTTGAGAATGAGTGTAGGTGAGGATGGATTTTTGCCTTACAGCTGCTTCTGAGTAACTTTCAGCCACTCATTATCACATCCGCTGTTTACTACTCGCCGTCATAGCAGGACAAATCGATTGATGGTAGTTAACATTAAGATATGACTAATTATATTCTTCGAGTTAGATCAAGCTATTTCGTATACATGGCTACTTTTCATGAACGAAAGAGACTGAAAAAAGTCGAACATCAATCCACCGTTATGACACTACTATAACCTGATTTTAATTATTCGTTCACATAAGAACGTGAATTTCAAGCATTTTGATTTCTTAAATCAATTTTAGCTTATTGTGTACAATGGACTAGTACCGATGAAGTACATAAAAATCTCAATAGTTTACTCTTCGGAGACGAAGACTTAAATTGAAATCAGATTATAGCGGTAGCATAAGAATAGATTAATAAACGGATTTTCCAGGTACTATGTGTACATCGATAGGTTGATCCATTTAAAGCAGGAATATCATATAATGTCTGATTTTGGTGCACAAAAAATCAAACATTATATGACATTCTCCCCTGCGCACTATCATACGTCTCTTAGCCGACTCAAACATAAAAAACTCAACAAGGGACTTCTGTCCGTATATTGTTATCTATTTGAGATGAGTTAATAAATGATTGATTATACAGATGTGGTAGACTTTGTAGCTTCTGAAATAAAGTCCATCGAGAACGTTTAATCCATTTTTCAA